TTCTCCATTCATTTCTCAGAATTTTGCTTTTCCCTGTCCACCTTGAAGATTGTTTACTACGATATTTGTTTATGTACTTTTGGACTCGTTACTTTTATAGGCTTAGTATTTATTTACCTTTTCGTTTTGAATTAGTATTTTGATGCCCAATTTTGAAGCATACTAATTAGTGCATTCGGATGTTAATCGGTTCGGTTTAGTTATTCGGTTTAGTTATAACTGTAACCGTTTAGTCTGTTAAGTATTTTATGCTTATCATTAACTACATCATTTATATTAGTTGGTTAATCGTAATTGTATAGTCGATTTTTCAGTTATTTTATTAGTTAACCGGATAACAGTTAAGTAAGTGACCCGCCAAGATTATATCAAAATAACCGGTCAATAACCTAACCAACATATAAGACCTCCTTTTTACAATTGTGCATTTTTCCAGATTTTTTCCTACATAAGTATGTGTTGTTTTTTTCAAGTTGTTATCATTGAATAAAAAATAATATATCACTCCGTATTCAACTCAATCCAACATAAGTACATAATAACACTATTCTACGGTCAAATTCGACTATAGAAGCAAATAAGATAAGTGTCCAAACAACAATTACTCAACTAAAAAATCCCACCAAATTACATGGAACCTTAAATGTTAGTGATTGTCGTTGAGCTATTGTGCACACGACCAACTTTCTATTGTGCTCTAAAGCCTTTTCTTGAAATTATTATCATTTGAACTAAGTCACTATTACAACTAGGGTAGACAAGGAATCGTGTAGGCCTTCAAGCATTCCATTATTTTTTTGTCTATTCTTGCATCTCATCGAGACCTATTATTTTCGGCTCTAACTATGAGGATGTTCATAATCAGTTAGTCGGTTAACCGTTTAACCATCTGTTACTAATCGTTTAACAGTTCGTTAATAATTAGCTAAATTTGGCTACCGAGAACCAACTGTTTAGTGTTTAATCGGATATAGGTGCAACCATTAATCATCAGTTCGGATTTGATTATCAGTTACACTAGTAACAAGATAATCGTTTACCATCCATATGTATTCTAAGTATCGTGAGGCGATCTATTATACTCCAAAAGTATTGATGTTTTCGGGTATAAGTTGAAATTGTATTATAACATCAAAGGTACAAGTTCAGTTTGTATCATAACTAAATCATACAAAAATGTATAGGTACAAACTAAACATGTACCAACATTAAACGTACAAGTCTAGTTTGTACCATAAAGAAAATTGTATGAAAAGGTATATGAAGAAATTGAATTTGTATTATAACACTAAAGATACAAGTTAATTTTTAATATAAAACCCAACAACTGCACACCCCTAACCATCTTTACGTTTTATATATCCGGCCTAATAATATACAAGTTAAACCCAACGATTTCAATCTTTACCATGATCAGCAAAGGATTTGATTCCTTGCTGATCTTACAGCTATGGTTGTATTAGGAACAAGTAGAAGACAGCGACGTATGTTACGGAAATCATTAGTCAAATAATAATGGTAATCCGAAAAAAAACTAAAAAATTCAAAAGGGATAATCGAATCATGATCATATATACATCTTAATTAACTCTGATATATATATATATATATTTATATTTTTCGTTTAACCATTATTACGCTATATATAGATACATTCCCTTAATTATCATATTCCATTCACGACTCCTATTTCATTCCCTTCTTTCCCTTAGGGTTTTCCGCCCGCCGCGCTGCAATCTTCTCTTTATTTTCACGACGTCTCAATTCAGAATTGCACAGAGAGGCATTGCGACAATGGTCGTCATACACGCCCTGCTTCCGACCAACTGATCTGCGGGGTTTATTAACATCGTCCATCAATATATGCACGACGATCAAGTGGGAGTCAGGGTTCATTTAGGCGTTCTTCAGGCAGAGCGATTGTACAAAGCACAATGCACTCTTCTTCTATCAAAAGTTGCAGTTAATTAATTGCAAGGGAAGCCGCGTTTCTCCATTTTTGTTATCGGCTATGATTTGTCTCACCAGATCGATCAACTACACTTTGTGCTAACGTCCTGATTTTTCACCATGTAAGTTATCGGGTTTCTAGATAGGGGTTTGTTCCTTTTATTTTTCATTTTTGTTTTATGGACTAATTATCTCATGACTAAGATGAATGATTTTCTTTGTTTTGCTACCATTTCAGACGCAATCTGATCTAAACCTGGGTGATCAAGAATCCTTGAAGGAATTTTCGAATTGATGGAGTTCTTATTTATTTCATTGTCCAATGTACGGTAGTAATTTGGATACTAAATAATTACTTCTTTTTATTGATATTTTACTATTTACTTTTATCTTCAAAAGAATGTTGCTAATTGTGGATGTTCTTTCTATAATCAAATGTGACAATCTATCATCCCTAAAGACATTGTTTAAGGCCTTAAGGGACACCCAGTCGTCCCTAGAATTCACGTAGATGACATTTTCACGTTTTCAATGATACCACTTAAAGGACAATTAGTCGTTCTTAAAAAGGTGCATAAATGACAACTCCTCGTCCCCCAAAACATAAGTTAAGCGACAATTGTTCGTCCCTAAAATTATAGGTGACAACTTGTTGTCCCTAAAGATATAGTATAAGAGACAACTTGTAGTCATTGAATAACCTTTTTTGGGACGATTTTTGGACTCCTATTTAATATCATAGGAACGACATGTCGACCCTATAAAAAGAAAAGGGGACGATATATTATCTCCATATAGGCGTAAGACAATCATGAAATCATTATGTGGGACAACAGTTTGTCCCTGGAAATGATGTTTAGGGGACGACTTATTGTCGCTAAAGTTATAGCTATAGGGACGACATGTTGTCTTTCATGGAACAGAAACTAGACAACGACTTGCACGTATAGGAGACGATAGTCGTCCCCAGTAATGGGGACGACCTATATTTTTGTCGTCCCAAAAAAATAGAGGACAAGAGTATAGGGAACCACACCTTGGGGACGACTTAGTCGACCCCAAAAACTATAGGGACGATTTTCCCTATTTTCGGGGACGACTTTTGTCGTCCCCAAACCGCCTCTTTTTTGTAGTATGTAGTAACTCTCTTTGGCCAAAGCATGCCTTGTGTCCCCACAAAAATTGACCACATGAAAACCGACGAGAAGCTAGTTACCAATTACAACATCAACAATTTAATAAACTAACTTTGTCAAGAATTATGGCACCCTATTCAATTACTGCTACTGGAAAGTTTACCTTATTCAGATTGCACCAGATTTTAACTCAAAGTGGTCAGTCACAGACAAGACACTCATTATCATATATCCCATCGGAAAATCCATTCCTTCTTCGCTGATCGAATTGATGTCCTTCCTCCCCACATATCTGCAAACAATGAATGCCAAATTAAAACGAACCCTCTAGGATTCTCGCAGTATCAAACAACAAGAAAATGGATGTCAAGGAATATGTGCAAAAAAATACATGAGAAGATTTAGACCAATTTCCACACTCATCTATACTCATATTCTGTATGAAAAATGGAAAAAAAGGTGACAACAAATTAAATCTGCTTACTACCTGGGGGGGGGGGGGGGAGGAGACTGTAGAGGGAGAACGATACGTCCCAATTGATTGGAAACGTCTATGGCATCTTAAGATTCCACCAAAGATTAGAGTTTTCATCTGGAGATGGGGCAGTAATATACTTCCCACATGTTTAAATCTAGTACGCAGAGTAAACGAGGCTTATAAGGGGTGTCCATTCTCTGGATTACTCAAGACACAGGAACACATAACCCGTGATTACGATTGGGATGGAAGAGTGTGGTGACCTAGTTTTCTAAGGAAAATCTTTAGCATGGGAGAAAGTTAAACTAGCAAGGAATGGCTTTGTGAGGTAATGGAAACATTGACGGATGAGGAGCTGAGTTCGTTCATAGTAGCCCTATGATTTCTATGGAAGGAAAGGAACAACCAGTGGTTCAATAACCCTAAACTGGAAGAATGGGAGATTATTGCTCGATCTGAACAGTATCTAGAGGAATTTAAAGAAGTGCATGACAAGAGAACTCACCTGTCGACATCGGCCAAGTAGGATTATAGATGGGAGAAGCCTAGAGCGGGAACCTTCAAGGTGAATGTTGATGCTGCGATTCTTAAAAGAAGGGGGCATTGGCTTCTGCATGGTAATTCGTGATGATACAGGGACCTTCAAAATGACAGCAGTCCATCGAACTAGAACACCCTGGATGTCGGAGCTTGCTGAAGCGAAGACGATTTTCTGGGCGATGAGGCTGTCAATTATTCATCAGTGCTGACCGTTGTTGGTTGAGTAAGATTGTCTGACAGTTATAAACAAGATCCAGGAGGAAAGATCGATATGATTTGGAGGTAGAGACTATCTGTGGGGAGATTAGGAAGATGATTAAGGAGGAAATGGGGGTTAGGGTTCGATTTTGAGGGGGAGAAAAGGGAATGAATTGGCTCGCCTAATGGCCAGGGTGAGATGTAATTGGGATGAAAATGAGATTTGGTTCGACCGGCCAACGATTATCTTAGTGAACCAACTCATTGCTGATTGTAATAACCCCTACCTTTGATGCATTAATAAATTCCAGGCTAGTTATAAAAAAAAAAACAGCCAGCACCTGGGCGAGGAAATTAAACAGTCCCAGGGATCAGATTGACATTTTAAGGGGAAAAAGAAATTAAAAAATGGTGCGTATAATACACGGGACGATAAATGGCGCCGTTTAATACGGTCACATATATATACTATTTTATGTCACGTCCTTATTCCCACTTTACGATTTAAGGAGAGAGACTGCAGTGTCAATTTCTTTCTCTCCCTAGCCAATTGCGATTTGCGAACATTCTCACTGCCAATCCCGCCGAAAATGGCTGGCGGCGGCGGCGGCGTGTTCATTTGCTGTTGCAGGGAGCTGAGGAGCGGGTTCCCGGATCACCTGTGCGCGGGACTACGGGAAGCCGGACTGACGGTGGTGATGGGCGGCGGAGATCTGCCCAAAGGTGTGAACCTGAGGGACGCGATCCGGTGCGCGATCGAGGATTCGAGCTTCTCCATCGTCATCCTCAGCAGCGGGTTTGCTTCCTCGGAGTTCCGCCTCGACGAGCTCGTGCATATAAAGGAGCAGCACGCCACCGGCTGCCACGCCTGCTTGCCCGTCTTCTTCCATATCTCCCCCGACGACGTCGTCGACTCCGGATCCAGCTCCACCAGCAGCTGCTTCCACGACTACTTGGACCGATACAAAACCCAGTTCACTTACCGTAGAGTTCACGCCTGGATCCGAGCACTTGCTTGGCTAGCCGGCATCTCCGGCTGGGTCCTCACCGCCGGCCGGTCCGTATCTGTCTATCTATCTATCTATCTAACTATCAATCATACATTTGGCTTCAATTTTATTTGTTTTAAACATATATATCTGGTATTAGTCTTGCCTAAGATTTCAATTTACTACCTCTGTGCGGAAAGCGAGAGAGTCATATATGGGCACCGAAACCCTAGCAAGGTCTAACTCCTAACTAAAAATTGTTAGGATAGGAAAAATTAAGGTTATCATTCTGGCTAACTCGCAGATTAGATCGCTTTCTTTAAACTGTTCATGATACTATCTCGTATTATCCACAACATACCATCAATCATTTTTCTCCATGATAAAACAACCACTCTCTCACATTCTCTTGTAGTGCGAAAACCCTAGATTTCATAAGGAGACTCTCTTTTTCTTTGAGCTCACACTTTGTGTGTTTAGAGTGTACATGAGGTACAGTTTTTATTGGAGGAAAACCTCCGTTATTCCCTCTTTTGAGAGGGAATAAGCCATTTTGTATTAGAAAATATATCAAATAATTAAGATGAATTGTATTCTCTAGTCGATTAAACCAACTCACTCATTGTCCGCTCTTCCGAATGGACAAAAGTTATGTGCGCTTGTGAATTTTGGAGGTCACTTAGGTCTTCCGTCTTACACAAATGGGTAAGGACTACACCCTTTGGAGAAAGATACTTCTATATGCACCTTTTACAAGGCATCACTTACCAACGTGGTATTTGAGACTTCCATCAGCTTTCAAAAGCTATTCGTACGTTCCTCACAATCCCCCACTTGAATAATTTTGAAACTTTCATTGCCCATTAACAGACAACATAAGATCAAGTATAACACTAAGGTTATACTTACCAATGTGGTATTTGAGACTTCCATTAGCTTTCAAAAGCTATTCGTTCCTCACAATCCCCCACTTGAATAGTTTTGAAACTTTCATTGACCATCAACAGACAACATAAAATCAAGCATAAAACTAAGATCATAGATATAGTTCAAGACTACGAGTCACTGAAAGTTTTATACTTGATCTTATATAGCACACCTGATCTATTCAGAGTGTTATTCTCTCAAAGATCACACACTATGACTCTTCACATATACCCGGTTTAGTGAATTCTCTAGAAAATTTTGGTCGTGGAATTCCATAGGAAGCGACCCCATTTCCACATTCAAATAGTTAAGTCTATTATAAGTACTCCGTCCGAAGCTATGCAATTCACTCCATATTGATTTTAGATCTCATTAAGAATTACTATTACCTCAACCTCTTTTTGTTTCGTGAAATCTTGCTTTACTAAGCATGATTTATCTCATCTTACACACTACTTGTTATTATTGGACCCATTTATTGGGGTCTCCTGCCCATGGGTCGGTTACCATCATCTGAAAATTCAACGTTCTATGACCATAAGTCTCATACTCTTATCGATATTCTTGACTTTCTCTTTAGCTAATCCTTTTGTAAAAGGATCAGCTAGATTCTATTAAAATTCACCTGCTCAGTGATTCTTCTTTCATGATTTTCTTATGTACAGAAATCCTAAACATGTACTAACGCAGGTCTGAAGCTGCCCTTGTCAAGGAGATTGTCACAACAATCCAAGAACTGATCCGTAAAAGCGAGCTGGCATGCTTCCCTGCCCATTGTCGTCAGTACCCTAACAGCTGGGAGCAGCACAATCACAATCACAAGCACAAGCCCTCCGCCGCATCCACAACAACAACCTCAACCTCGACAAAGTCGTCCGCCATCTTGTCCTTCCGTATAGTGGTTGTGGTTGCAGCAGCATCTGCCTTTGGCGGCGCCGCCGTCATTGCCATATATGTTTTTGTAACTCAACTTTAGTTTTGCCAATATGATCCCGTCCTTCATTCATAAACCACACTCATGCACAGAGTAGAGACAATTGTACCTCCATATGGCATTATGTTAACATTTATGAAGTTATGATGCAATTTGGGTTGCTCTAACTTTGTATTTTTGTTATTTATTTGGATTTATCGTATCAAAATTATACAGGCGTGTTTTAATTTATGTTTTTGGGAGAAAACATATTATTTTCTGGTTTACTGATTCGATTTTTTGTGTGGTGGACTAAACAAATATTCTATTTTCGCTAAACTTAGTTCACATGATCCGGACCACGCTTAGTCGCTTACCGGACCACACCGCACAGGTGTGGTCTAGTATGGACTGTTTAGTATTTGGTCTGGTTCATGGTCTATGCTTCAACTTCTCGATCTAGACCATAAACCGTATGTATGATCTGTTCTAGACCAGACCGCACCGTTTTCCAGCCCTAGTACTTCTGCCCATTATGTACGTGCGATCATCTTTTTTCCACTATGATTTTTATTTTTTTCCTCCTTTCCATTTTGTGATAATCGGGTGAAACAAAATGATATGGAGCTTGTCGCGCGTGGAGCTTTATTACATCCCAAATGATAAAGATTAAAGAGCTTTCTCTATTCCTGTTCCTAAACTTCTATTTGCAACGAGGTTCTTTCATTGCCTAGCTAGGCTGATCTTTATATTGTCTTCATCATTTGAATTCCCGTACATATAACCTTCATCTACTTGGGAGTTATAATTTAAATGATTGGAGTATGAATCTTGTGATTCTGATGAGTTCAGGGATTCTGATGTAGAATTTCTCATTTCAAAGGGTGATTTCATTTTCCTACTTTAAAAAAAAAAATCTCTAAACTACTATGTGTCTCTCTCGTCAGAAATTATGCATATCCCTACATATATAGTAGTACATGATCATAACGTGATATATGTATAGACGGAAAACCTTACTGGTTTTGTTTGTTTGCCGATGATGATGAGAGCCTAGCTAGCTGGTAGATATATAGCTGCATGTTCCCAGCCGCCGGCCACCATAGCTAATAGCTAGCTGGTTCTTCTGCTCGAAGAGGATCGATCTGTTGATCAGAGCTTTCATCAAAACGCCTACATATATTTATGCAGCATCGAAAACTGCCTGCCTGCAAGCGTGTAAGCGCTAGCTCAAGTGACTGCAATTTGGAACAGAAAATGGAGAAGAAGGGAGGGAATGGGGGATTGCCTGCGTAGACTTTTTTCCATGAGGTGTCGTGCGCAACAGTTATTCTGTCTGCATCATCAGCTGCTTTTATGGAACTCAGAAGCATTGACATTCTCAGCCTCATGAGGCAAGCCTATAGTTCCATCTAATTAATAAACCCCGTTTTGTGAATGATCTGTAATTAATTAATTAATGCTGCAAGACGGTCGTGATTCGAAGTGCCCGATTTGTTCTCTAGGTTCATAAATATACAATGAAGAAATTACTATAATGTGGGGTGGGGGGAACAGATCTCAACCTTATATCTTGATACACGGGAAATACACAGAATTTGTTTTTTAGTAAAAGCTACCCATGTGCATAGAAATATAATGGTCAACACTCAACACCATAAGGAAACCAGCAACATGTTACTCAAGTTGATGATCCGATCACGAAATTATACACACCAGAGATGGACGGTAGGGATGGGAACGGGGCGGGGCGGGTCGGATTTTAAGTCAGCTTTTTGAAATTGTAACTAAAAATAGGAGTGATTTTGATGAGTTTAGGAGAATTTTTACCACACCAGTGGTATAGTCTAGAGCTTTGCCATTAGAAACCACAAGTTCAATTCCAAACAATATAAGTTTTTCACCCGTCGGTGGCTGGAATGGCTAATCACGGCAAGATAACTTACCGCCTCCGGCGATGACCCAACCACCATCTCACCGAGTGAGTCGCAGCGAGATTCCCACCATCACTCAAGTGGTGGCTGCACTTAACGTGAGAGTTGGAGAACTGCCCCCACGTGGCAAAAATTTTACCACTAAGTTAAACACCCATGTTAAACAACCGCCATCCATCTCGGTGGCGAGACCCTATGTAGCCCCTACTAACATGGTTGGGGGAGGAGGCTATGGGGTTGGAGATCAAATTCCTCAGCGTGCTTACCCAGCACCTATACCACCCCAAGTCCATGGGCATGGTGTGGACCCCGTGGGGTACGTACCTCCAGGGGGCAAGGGGGCATGATGTCAACGCCCTAAGATATCAGGTGTCTCAACTCCTTACCGAGCAATTCGGATTAGGAGTAAGGCCCACCATGCCACTTGTGTATCGTAAGCCTTACCCTGAATGGGTAGATAGGCTATACCCATTCCCGAGAGGGTTTAGGGTGTCCGAGTTTGCGACCTTCATGGGTACTGGTGACCAGTCCACTGTTGAACATGTGGGACGGTTTACTGTCCAATATGTAGAGATGTGGGAGACTTTGTCAAGTTAAGGCTATTTAGCAACTCGTTGACATGGTCAGCTTTTGCATGATATGTCAACTTGCCATCTAATTCTATCCAAACTTGGCACCAAATGGAACAAATCTTCCATGCTCAGTTCTATAGATCTGAGCCTGAGGTCTCAATGGCTGACTTGGCACCAACAACCAGAGGAGTCAATTGTGCATTTCTTGACTAACTTCAAGCACTACAAAAAAAAGTGGCTTTGCTGAGGGGTTAAAACGGTCGGTACAACCCATAAAACGGCCGGCATAAGTTATTACCGGCGGGATAAATCCCTCCGTTATCGGCTTCGCCATTATAAGTAATAACGACGGGTTTATGTCAACCGGTCGGTAATGTCAATAGTGAGAGGGGCCTTTCCTGCCGGTAAAAGCTATTATTTACTATCAATATTTTTATCATTCCCGAGGGGCTTCCCGTCGTTGGAGGTAAATGCTAAATGTCTTAATTTGGCCGGCATAATGGGCTTATTGGGGTCATGAATCTGTACTGTGATTAGTGGAGACCAGAAATCTGGTTGGTCTGTCTTTATTAAATAAAGTCACAATTTGAAACTTTTTTACCTCTTATAATTCAACACTCTACAACGTGCATATAATAGTAAGACAAGATCAATAATAATTCAACCACATATGATAAGTATATATATATAGTCGATACACAAAACGGACAATGAACTTTACAAAATATGCACAAGGCATTACTTAGCTTCAAGAGTATTGTTCGAAGCAAAATATTAACAAAACATCAAAATTCATTAAGAATGTTGATGACCTCTTGTCCACAATCAACAATGCACGATGGAAACTTGAAGCACACTGGAAAGATGAGAAGAAGCATGTACAGGAGTCAGGACATG